AGCTCTCTGATATCATCCACCTCCAGCTCTCTGATATCATCCACCTCCAGCTCTCTGATATCATCGACCCCCCCACCTCCAGCTCTCTGATAACATCCACCCCCATCTCCAGCTCTCTGATAACATCCACCCCCATCTCCAGCTCTCTGATAACATCCACCCCCATCTCCAGCTCTTTGATATCATCCACCCCAATTTCCAGCTCTCTGATATCATACTCTTCTCTAGCTCTCTGATAGCATCCACCTCTATTTCCAGATCTCTGATAGCATCCACCTCCATTTCCAGATCTCTGATATCCTTATCTCTAGCTCTCTATCATCCACCACCATCTCTAGCTCTCTGATATCATCCTTGTGAAGGAATACCCCATCACTGTTCGGCTATTTCTGTTCGTTTGGATTCATGTCCCAGTTTTGTTTAGTTTATTTGGTTCAGTTCCCGAACCGAGACCACCCCAGAGACCAATTAGAACGTGGAACGTTATGTATCTAGTACGAAAACCACAAAGGAAATATTTAATAGAATGCTCCACTGGGTGGCTGCCATTTCATGCATGCGAACGCACGTGGTTGGGACAATGGATGGTGGCCATCTTGTCTCCCGAACGCTGGCAGCGGGATCTGGTCGTCAAGTGCTTGGAACACATTTCGGCCAGGCACTTCCACGAACACCATGGATCTACGGCCGGTTCTAGTTCGGGAGTTACAGAATACCGAACACAGGGAGCATTCTCCTTGAACATGCTTTCCTATATCTTTCGTACAAAAATTTCTGGGCTTCCAAAAGAGGAAAGGAACCAAAAAGGGCTAAATGAGATCTACACATAAAAAAAATTAAAAATAAAACACCAAATAGGTGAATAAGTGGGGGGAAAAAGGGAAAGAGTATTGTGCAGATGGTATTAAAAATTACAAATTTATTGCACTTACAAGATAGCCGATAAAATCAAGCATATCTCCACAGCCAGTGAGGTAACCAGACTTCAGCGAATAGCAGGAAGCTCCGGAAATAAACATGCAGGGTGGCAGATTACAAATAAAAAAAAGAAAAAAGAAAAATGAAAGCATAATCCTTATCCTGAGCCATTTATCTACACTTCCTGGCCCTATCTGAAAGGGAGACATGTCTAATTATACATCTACCACCCTCACCCTGACACTTCTACTGAACATACTGCACCATATATATTTTTATTTATTTTGCAGAATATTCTTTGACTAAAAGTTTGTATATATAACCTTTATTTTTCACCTATTTGGTGTTTTTTTGTTTTTCTTCTTTTTTTTTTTTTATGTGTATATCTCCATTTAGCCCCCTTTTGGTTTCTTTCATCT